GAGACCGGCTCTACTAGCTGAGAGGTATCTATAATGCTTCCCCCATCTACCAGAGGTATTAGAGACTGCTGTTGGGCGGGAAACGTCCGTAATTTGGCTCAGTGACCTCCTTTGGAGATATGAGGTTCTTTTACGTGCCGTAAAGCTACGACACGGGACCCACGGCTTAAAGTCCCTCCCGGAGGACTTGTTCCATGAATTTTTCCGCCCTTAAAAATTCGACGACCTCTGCCGGGTATTTGAACCCGCGTACTACGAGTCATGAGGTGGGAACGTTACCTATAGACTACGGAGGCCGTTCACAATATATTAACTACTACTTTAAAGGTGGAGATACCAGGTTTCTCCAAAACGTTTTTATCTACCTAGTTAACCACATGATACCAAAACCTAGACGACCGCAATTTAGATCTTGACGTTCGTGACACCCTAGAATCTCTCTTATTTGTTAGTTTTGCTGTCTGTCTAACAAACTCATCACTTCAATTACAGAAATGAGATCGCTTAAGTGCAGAAGACATCAACATCCTCGGATCTGAGATTCTCACGGCAATGATATGAACAGCACGGTTTTCTGGGTTCGTAGAGATCCTGAATATATCGCATTCGGATTCAAAGAGAAAGCCAAGCAATAAACCAGCAGAAACAGGAGACAAGCTGAGCTAAGCTCCCTCCAAAATGCACGGTGTTATAATCCAGAAGATCTTGTTATTCAACAATGAAATCGGATTAACATCGCGTGATTGGTCCGAACCAAATTTAATCGAAGATCAAGCAACTATGAAAGTCATAAATTTCGTCTGAAGCCGAGATCGTGTGCTCGCTAAGATGTTTATCGGGATTGAAGTTGTGTCTCCACCCACAGGTTGCGTACAATATCCGCTGTTGGCTTTCAGATCACGTTGTGATCACCGTGATGTATTACTCGCCTCTGCAGGAGACCGTGTCCAAACAAACACAGATTCATCAGCAGCGACCTTCTAAAAATACTCAACCTGTAAGTATCTATGTTTGTATAATTTTGTACATTAAGAAAATATGAACAAGATCCTGCAATAACGGCCATCAACAAGAAGCCACAACCTTAGCGTTTAATTTTGTCAACGTATGGTAAAATGTAGAGGCCACGCGGTAGCGTGGAACTAGGCTACAAGACGGGAAGGTCGCGGGTTAGATTCCCGATGACATCGGATTTTTTCAATTTATCTAATCATTCCAGCAGCATTATGGTCCTGGAGTCGACTCAGCCTCTTAACAGAAATGATTACCAGGAATCTTCATGGGGGTAAAGGGCGACCGGCGAATAAGGCTGATCTCATCGCCATCTGTGAACCGATTATCGACAGAATGTGGGAGCCTCGACGTCTCACAACCCTATGGGCTTCCAGGGCCTGTTACAGGGATAACTTGGAGCTTAAGACTGGCAGCCTCACCCCCATCTGTGAGCCGATTGTCTAGATAATGTGGGACCCTCGACGTCTCACAACCCTATGGGCCTCCACGGCCTGTTACAGGGATAGCTTCACCTTTTATGTTAAAGTCTGCCAGCTGAATAGATTAGAAACATGGGCGTTATTCTTCTCACACATTGTCAACAATCCTGTTATTATTGATATAAAAGAACTGCAACTATATTGCCTTTCCAATACGACATATCGTGGCCTCGCGCTGCTAATGGAGACACGGTCCAGACGCTCTAGGAAGCGTCGAATGGCTCGCGAAGAGACGACATGGGTTAAGAGGCGCCGTGATTCAACCACCAGCTACACGGGATCTCGCGTGTGGAAGGGCTTTTTCCTGCAACGACCTAATATCAAGACAGGTACACGTGGTGGATTCTTGTGAACGTGGCACCAAACTTTCGGGTTCCATAAAATGCAAGATATTTCTTAAGTACCCGATGTACTAATAGCTTCTTACGAATTCCGATCCATACAAACTCCGTGACCTGTAGTCCTCAAGCGAACTATACCGACCGAGCGATAGCCGGTTGTTGACGAAGGTAGTGCAAACTTTAGCAGATAGAGGGTGTCGCGTGGTCAGCGCAACGGATCCCCACGGCCGTTAATCTCGGTTTTCTAGACCGGAATTCCGCTCCATGGAGTCAGTTCTAAGCATTTTTTGCAATTCAGGTATCCTTGAGGACGGAATGCTCTATTTTAGAAAGGCGGACTGCTGTCAGTAAGTATATCTGCACTGGGAACATGTTGGGACAGGTCACATGACTGCTGGAATACGCTACGACCATCAATATCAATTTTCAGGGAAATGGGCTTGAAATCAAGTCAGTATCCGCAGTTTAAATACGACTTAGGACAAGACACATTCTGAAGCTCAAATTCGCCAGTATGGCAAGCCTAAGGAGCATGTAGTGTACATGCCGATCACAGTGGCCGCGAGGTCTAAGGCATGAACTGTCTTCGCCCGTAAGAAAACTGAGGTTGTGGTTTCGAATCCCACTTGAGGCATGGATGTCTGTGTGCATTTAATCTGTAGGTAGCGGCTTTGAGACGGGCTGATTTCCTGTCCAAGGTGTCCTACCTATCGTGTATGACTACAAAACTCAAAAAACAGCCAAGGTCGAACAACAGGACTGTAGAACCATACGTAGATACATATGTACATAATTGGCTAGGTAGGTATGTAGGTACCTGGTAGTTGGGTATATTGTCATGAAGCTGGGCTGTGCTGCTACCTAGTGACACGTACAGAAAACCTATTACGCCCATTACAGCTATGTTACCTCCATTTGTGGCTTATTTACTGACTTTCGTACTTTAACAATATTGATGGATTTAAAAGTTCGCCTCTGCGAACTACAGGCCACGGAGTTTGTTCTGCTTTTTGTTGGATTTGAAATTCTCATGGCGGTCACCATAATCTCCTCGGTATTTCTCTGTTGTAACACCATTAAAGTTGGGCGCTCCCCGAACCACGCGACTTTTATTTTATTGCTAGTGGGGTGGGACTAAGTCCCTTGTACTGCGGCCACTTCTGGCCTATTGTACCAGCCCCAGATGTTAGGTGAGGGTGATTGTGGAGCAATTGGTGGAATGAAGATTGGCAGGGGAAACCGAAGTATTCGGAGAAAACCTGCCCCAGCGCCACTTTGACCACCACAAATCCCACTTGATCGAACCCGGGCCGCCGAGGTGGGAAGCCAGCGACTAACCGCTTGAGCTATGGCGAGGCCCACAACACAAAAGAGGGGTACACCGACGATCGGTGGCAGTTAATCTGCACATCAATCTAATTGGGTGAAAACACTGCTTTTCTTTATATGTATTCTAGACCAGTGTCATAATCTTTACATATTTCTACAGGCATAAGAGCTCGTGTGTATTAACGTCTGTGTGATAAACTAATAGTAAACACATAAAAGGAAAGAATACATTCTTCTTTGAACATCTCATTCGAATGCTAAGCAGCATGGATCTCTGTCTCTGCCACGGAACAAGAAGCGAAGTGAGGAAACGCCTTCCTCAGAAGCAACCATGCGGCCATAACGCAAGGATCACGAGGGTACAACCATCACTGTGTTCCACTCAGACTCCATAGGAGCAAGTGCAGGCAGTATGACCATCAAATAAAAACTGAAGGCGGATTCGCTCTTCTTGACTCCCCTGAACAAACAGCAAGGGTACACATTCTAAATGCAGCCAAGAAGCTGCGTTTCTAACACGTCACTGGCATATATAGACATAGATTTCTGACTCTAAGAGAGGAACAGAAATCGAGGGCATTTGAGAACGGGGTAGGTAAAAGGTAGGTATCCCTGTACCAGGCAGTGAAGGCCCTTAGGGTTGTGAGACGTCGAGGTTCCCACATTATCTAGACAATCGGCTCACCGATGTAGGTAAGGTTGTCAGCTTTGAGAACTGCCTTCCATTTCTCTGGGGAGAGAATTGAAAATTACAAATTTCCAAAATTTTGGAGAGATACTTAATCTAAAAAGTTCGCAATTTTTAGCTGTCTAGAACATCCACCGAGAGGACTTCTGCCGTTGTGCCAGGTTTGGCCGTAACAGGTTCAGTGGTGTGGAAATACTAACACGTGAAGGACAAGCAAAAAAACTCACCCTATTTTCATACACAGAAAACTTGAGGAATAGGAAACGTGATCTCATAGGCCTCCTAACAAAAATTAGAGTGACACAAACAGCAAGGTGATTCCATAAGCCTCATAACAAAAATTAGAGGTGACACGCAAACAGCAAGGTGATCCCATAAGCCTCATAACAAAAAAAGAGGTGACAAACAGCAAGGTGATCCCATAAGCCTCATAACAAAAATTAGAGTGACACAAACAGCAAGGTGATTCCATAAGCATCATAACAAAAATTAGAGGTGACACGCAAACAGCAAGGTGATCTCATAAGCCTCATAACAAAAATTTGAGAGGACATGCAAAGAGCACGGTGATCTCATAAACCTCAATCTCTTTTTTCGATATATAGAAAGTAGGCTAAAATTCATGTACATCTGTCTAGCAGAGATAATGTGTATTAATACATCGCATATGACCTTGCAGCTAAGACATAAATATTCTTACTTCCTGTACCATCAAGGCTGATAAGACGATAGTTCACCTCCACAATAGAACACGCTGTAAAATGAATATTTCACGAACAAGAGAAATACACAGAATTAGTGGGGTTTGGGACTTTTCCCATCGTCCGGGATTCTAGGTAATAGTGAACACGACATTTCGGAAACTGGATCTGTTTCTGTCTTCAAGTGAGAACGGAAGACACCTACTCAGTTGGGCCCCTTAGAAAGAAAAGTCCAGTGATTTAGATTAGCTCTTTCTAAGGAGCCCAACTAAGTAGGTGTCTTCCTTTCTCACCTGAAGACGGAAACATCCAGTTTCCGAAACGTCGTGTCCTCTATTACCTAGAATCCCGGACGATGGAAAAGGTCCAAAACTCCAGTAATTCTGTGTGTCATCCACCATCGTCAGAACTCTTTAGAATCTAAGAAACATACAGTTCACATACTCACCAGTGTCCATGGCGACAAGAGTGAGGATGTATTCCGCTTGAGCCTCGCGGTCCACAGCCCTCAGAAGAGTAATCTCTCCTGTCGATGCGTTAATTCTGAACAGATCTGCATCGCCTTCCTTGATGAAGTACCTCACTTGTCCGTTGTACGGTGGCGTATCCGCATCATAAGCCCTTACTGTGAGCACGTAACCATTCGGAGGGGGGATCACATTCTCCATGACGTAAGCCAGATATGGCGAGTCGAGGAATGTAGGTGGATTATCGTTAATGTCTGCCACCGTGATGACGAGAGATGCCGTGTCGAAGCGGACAGTTGAATCCTCGCCTGAGTTTAGAAGCAGGAGTCCTCCAGCGCAGTCTTCGGCACGAACAGTAAGGATATAGCGACTTTTCCTCTCGTAATTCAGGTTCTTGGCAACGCGAACCACGCCCGTGTCCTCACTGATAGTGAAGTCTCTGTTATCGTCACCTGAGGATATCGCATACCGAACTCGACCATTTGCGCCTTCGTCCACATCAGTTGCCGAAACCTGGACAGAAATCGTACAGAAATCTCTTACAATATGGAAAAGAAAAATCAACTTATACAGGATGTCTTAGGAGGGAAGGTCAATATTCTGGGAGGTCATCGTATCGGTCATTCTAAGCAAAAATATATATATATATGTACATGTGTCCTATTCCAAACGGTTTCCGAGATAGAGCTACTTCAATGTACAGTCTCAAAATTGTTGATAAGAAAGAGATATTACGTACTGTTTCCAATAAAACAAAAACAAAAAAAAACTCCCTGGCTTGTAAAGTTGGCATTAACTTTGCTGACAAGCGGTGATAGCTGGGTCGGTATAGTTCGCTTACGGACTAAGACCACGGAGTTTGTTTTTTTATCGTATTAATCTCTCGCAACACTGCAAATTGAAACATGTTTCACGAACTGTCTTGAATATTTTCTCAATTATGGGATGTTTCTATAACGATATTTCAGACCATAAACTGCTTCTAATAAAGACGAGAATATTTACACCTAAAGCAGCATGCAGCATTGAGAAAATTCGCAACGAAGACATTAATCACTTGTACTCTTCATAATAGAATGTGATTCTAAATTATTGACGGGGTTCGGAAATTGAATACCGCTTGGGCATCTTATCTGCCCAACAATAGCTCACGCTGGCTTCCCACCGCGGCGGCCCGGGTTCCATCCCAGGTCTGGTCAAGTGGGATTTGTAGTGGACAAAGTGCCGCTAGGGCAGGTTTTCTCCGAGTACTTCGGTTTCCCCTGCCAATCTTCAGTCCGCCAATTGCTCCAAAATCACCCTCACCTATCATCTGGGACTGGTACAATACACCAGAAGTGGCCGTAGTACAAGAGACTTAGTCCCACCCCAGTAGCAATAAAAAAAGAAAATCTTATGTGCCACGAAAGGGCGCAATGTTGAAGTTTTTTTAAGCATTCTACAGCGCTGATTCCATAAGTAATAAAACTATATGAGTTACTCTTTCATATTCCATAAGCAGGTTTATTTTGTTCCTTCTGGTTTAATAATTATAGGCCAAGGAAACTCCGACAATACTTTAGAATCATCCTGTATTTAAACGATAAAATACAGGAATGTGAGATGAACGGGAGATGTAGCGCGCATGTGCAGAAAAATGCATACATTTTAGTCGAAAGCCCTTAAGTAAAGAGCAACTGGTAGCTGGTGTAAGTGACACTGTTCTCACACCAAGTAATGCCGACGAACTCTCTACAATATTTTCACAACTACTTGCAATAGAAACTGGCGGCGTTACTATCCGCCTAGCGTTAATTGCCCCCTCTACCCTACCTGAAGCACACTGGCGCCAATACTCGCGTTCTCTGCCACAGAAGCGCTGTACTGCTTGGGATCGAACACAGGGCTGTTGTCATTCTCGTCCAGAACTCTGACCAGAATTCTCTTCTTCGTCTGTCGTGGAGGGTCGCCCCTGTCCCGAGCCGTCACTTCGAGGGTGTAATTTGCCCGAGCCTCCCTATCCAGACGCCCGGACACCATCAGGAGACCGTCCACGGGCCCCAGAGAGAACATGGTTCCCAGCCCTGGCTCAGTAGCACTGAGCGCGTACTCAATGTAGCTGTTGCGTCCCTCGTCCCGATCCAGGGCCTTCACAGCCATCACCACCGTGTTCACGGGGATGTTTTCGGGCACCGAAGTCTCGTTCGGAGTGATGAACTCCGGCGACATGTCGTTGACGTCCTTCAGTACGATCGTCACCTGCAAGAAAGGCAGATTCTATATAATGTGACAAGCAAATCCACTGCTAGGCTACACCAGCAACACACACAAGGCCAACAATACTGGAGCAGTGTTTTCTTTACATCCGTACAGCTTGCGCATAGTCGATAACGTCACATAATACAGGGGTTGTATTTTCTGTGTGGTCCGTGCGGAACCTATATAACGAAGATCTGTTGTAGCTTAGATTATTTGCGTGTCAGTCGCAATGTGACTTCGACTTAGATTATTTCACTCACGAGAATGGGAATACAAAGGCACGCAGCAGTTCAGTTGTCGGTAGGAAATAGCCACGGGAAGTTAGCAGTTGAAGAAGGGCCGCTCCATAGCTCAAGCGGTTAGTCGCTGGCTTCCCACTGCGACGGCCCGGGTTCGATCCCGAGTCTGGTCAAGTGGGATTTGTGGTGGACAAAGTGGCGCTGTGGCAGGTTTTCTCCGAGTACTTCGGTTTCCTCTGCCAATCTTCATTCCACCAATTACTCCACAATCACCCTCACCTATCATCTGGGGCTGGTACAATAGGCCAGAAGTGGCCGCAGTACAAGGGACCTAGTCCCACCCCACTAGCAATAAAAAAAAAAAATAGTTGTAAAAGAATTAAAGTCGGTGTCTGAAGTTTTAATATGTTATCAGAATATTTAGTCACAGTGAGACTGGTTTAATTTCTTTGCCAGGAAACGACTAGTGAAGAATGAGAATCCTAGTGCGTGCGTAATGGTGATAATATTAAAGGTTAGATATTGTCACAAGAAAAAAGCCCCCTGCATTCGCATCAATATTCTCCCCCTTCGAGCTTCACTTCTATCCTCAGGACAGAGGCAGCGGGTTACCTCCTTAAGTCTCTGCAATTCTACTGGACAAGACGGCATCACAGCCCAAAAGAGAATAATCCTCAAAGTCACCGTTGTTAGAGCCCGAAATCCGATAACATTTAAATGACCGGCGAGATTCTTTCAATGGTCAGAGAATTAGACCTGCAAATTCTCATCTGAGTCACGACTTCTTCAGAGCTACATCTGCATTTGTTACTGCACAATATCCCACAGCAGTCTACTTAATATCTCTGAGGACGGCAAATTCCCTAGTAGCACAATATGCCACTTCCCTAAAGAAGCAAATAATAAAGGCTCCATTGAGTTTAGCTTTGAATTTGAGTAGACATTTCATAGCGATGAAGTAGAAAACAGTAATATAAGAGCACATGAAGCACAGCCGCGAACTTCAAGCAGAAATAAATCAAAGGATGGTAGACCTTCAAGCACGTACACCCCCCCCCCCCCTCCCCCCCCCTCTNAGAATGTTAACGATTACTATATCCACACAAGTATTCTTCATTTACTCGTATAAGTAAAGATTCCTGGTACTCATTTCTGATAGAGGCTGAGTCGACCCCAGGGACACAGTGCGGCTGGACGGATTAGGTCAAATGTCAAATCCAATGACCTCATCGGGAATAGAACACAAGACTTTCCGGTATGTAGCATAGTACCTCAACCGACTACGCCACAGTGTGCCCCCACATGGTCAATTACACGAAATATTATTTAAGTAATGCCTTTAAATGAATTATCAAAACAGACATCGACTAAGATATGGACTGGACGACCGATGGATCGGGTTTCGATTACCGCCAGGACGAAAAGGTCTTTCTGTTGTCCATAACGTCCAGCCTCCTTTATAATGGGTAGTGCGTCCTGTTTTCCTGGAAGTAAAGCAGGAGGGGCGTGAAGCTAACCATTTACCTCCATCTACTGCCGAGTCTAATTATGATGGAGCTATGTCTCCACTCCCCATACGCCTTCATGCCGTATAACCTCACCTTTTGCTTTACAGACAGACATCACGTGCTGTCAGACAACTGGTAATGGTAAGTTTTGTGTTATCCTTCTATTTAGTCCTAGACCTCTCGTCTTTTCCTTTAAGCTGAAGCACTCACTGACATCAGGGGCAAGATGTGACACTGCGCACAAGAGTTGCGTGGTAACGCGTGTGTGTAGAGAGAAGTTAGAAATGGGGAATAGTGTCACAGTCTTCTAATAAAAACGAGAAATGAAGAAAAGGAACAAGCGGACATGATGAGGTAGATATGTGAACAACATTCCTGCGTCTTGTTGTGTTTTTGGCTGCTGGAAAGATGTTGTTTACACGAGAGGGGGTGGGGGCCGTGTTTGCCGAGCGCAGAAGCGGGCTGAGTGACTGAACTACGGGAGGCCAGCCATGTTCCTCTCATCTTGCACGGTTCTCTATCATTAAGCAAGCCATGGTTCGTAACCCCATATATATACACTGTCCACACCACATTTAACATTCTGTCAACTATGTGGGCTGCCTACCATCGAATGAGAGACAATGGGAAACTGAGCGAAGAGAGACAAATTATATAAGAATTGAATTTAAAGAAAGCGTGGATTAATTTAGCTATAGTCAGGGCCCAAGGCTACAGATCCAGAGGTCCCGGGTTCGATTCCCGGCGGTACCAGATTTTCCGAGAAGTAGTGGGTCTGGAACGGGGTCCACTCAGCGTCGCGAGGATAATTGAGAAGCTATTTCAAAGAAATAGCGGCTCCGGTCTAGAAAACCGAGATTAACGGCCCTGGGGTTCCGTTGCGATGAACACGCGACACTCTCTATCCGCTAAAGTTGGCACAAACTTCGCCGACAAGCGGTGGTCACTCGGTTGGTATAGTTTGCTTGCGGACTACAGGCCACGGAGATTTTTAGGGCCCAAGGAGCCATGATGGCGACTAGCTACGGGCTGGACGGTCAAGGATAGGAGTTCAAGACCCGATAGGGACAAGATTCTTTCTACAAAAGGCAGACACGTCCTCCCATCAGAGTTGGCGCCCAACAAAAACAAGACCGTACGCGTCAAACAGTAATAAATATCTGGTCATGAGCCCCAGATGGGGATCGACACCAGGACTTACTGATTGACTGACTGTCAGTCGCAATGTGACTTTGACTTTGGAACTGATTTTACTTGAGTTCCGAAGTTCCAAAGGAACAACAGTGTGGCCAGAAGAAGAATTAGAAGACTCATTGTGTGACGTTACTGGGAGTGTGTAATTTAGTGAAACTTCTATAGTTCCCGTGTTATAAATCCGTTACCAGGATACGAATAGTGAAGACAGACGACATTAAGTGTTTGTAGCTGTGGACTGTAAAGTATGGAAATCAACGATAGCACTGTAATTATTTGTAATTACGAGTTGGGTGTCTAAGGTCAATGAATCCAATCATCCAATCTATACCACGTCTAACAGCCACCTCTACAAGTGACAATACTAAAACTCTGCATTCTGTCCATACAATGTGTTTGTGTGTTCCGTATGGTTCTCGTAATAAACAGCGACTGTTTCCTTAAACAACATTAACCGGTTGGGCTCTGTAGCGGAGACGTAATGTTTCCTGTGAGGTACGGACTGAACATACTAAAACTCTGCATTCTGCCCACAGAGTGTATCTGTGTGTTCCGTATGGTTCTCACAATAAACAGCGACTGTTTCCCTAAACAGCATTAACCGGTTGGGCTTTGTAGCGGAGACGTAATGCATTTCCTGTGAGGTACGAGCTAAATTCTTTTGTATTACGTAGAAGTAATTCAGTTTTTAAAGGGTCAATATCAGAATGCTGCCCATGATTTGGCCACAGAGCAACAGGAAGGCACAGAAGTATGGAGCGCAACCCATGAAACATATACAGAAGACTGCTACATACAATTGTATTACGATTTATATTGAAAGAATACAATGTAGGTGGAATGTAACAAGATCAGTATGAAAAGCTACAATATTCGGTGAAAATTAAGCAATTATAGAATAAAAAAAAGTTGGATGTATGCGGTGGTTAGAGCCAAATGAAGTTCCGTTCAGTGCATTTATAATTTCATTTGTTAAGAATGTTGTATTCATGTTCTGAGTTCTAAGAAATTCCTGGCGTCTTGCTTTTATTGCGACATACATCATCTCTGTAACACCTGGACTGCGGAATACTTTCGTTCCATAGAGGATGACAGGGATATCCGGGATTATGGGGCCAGATTTGGCCTAAGTACGTCAAGTTGGTCAATTCAGTGTATCTCTGTGGTTTATTTCATGATGCTGTTAGTATCTCAGAATATACAGCGTCAAATTAAGCAATAATTCGTGAATAATGAACTGGAAGAAATCTGGTAGGAAGCGGAGTGGTCTAACCGAGGTACTAATTTTTTTTTTCAATTCGCTTAATGGAGGTGGAGTCCAACTGGTTCCACTTGGCACGGCGGCCACTGATTGGCCTATTGTAGCCTGCCCCGGGTGATGATGACGGAGAATTTGGTGGAATAAAGATTGGCAGGGGAAACTCGGAAAAAACCTGCCCCAGTGCAATTTTGTCCACCACAAATCCCAGTTGACCAGAGCCGGGATCGAACCCGGGTCGCCGCGGTGGGAAGCCAGCGACTAACCGCTTGAACTATGACGCGGCCAACCGAGGGACTAAACTTGCATGTGTCTTCAGTGACTGACAAAAACCACGAAAAGCTTCAATCAGGATAGACAATGTTCCAAGTTTCTCACCCATACAGAACCACAGCCAAAATTTTAATTTAGTATATTAGTTCCTATTAGCGGACCAAACGTTTATATCTTACAGGCGTCAGAAATTCACATTTTTATATGCGAAACTTTCATGTAACCAGATACACCTCATGGATTCATTTCGCCAGTCCAGCACCCAGAACCACAGAACTGTGCAAAAGAAAATGCAATAAAAAATGTAATCTCCGTTATGAAGAGTTTGGGTCCTATACTATGACGAAAGCGGAAACAAACAACGTTCTATTAATGACGTAAGGATCTGCGTCACTATCTGAAGACGCAAACTCAAAGATGTCTTAAACACAACATAAGTTGGCCTAAAACGTGGGTAGGCTACATAAGATAATTGCTCAATATGGCTTTGTAACGCTGTCAGTAGCCTTTCAGCAAATTGGGTCTGTAAAAAAAAGGGTAAAGTTTCTGTGTTTAATTAATTATGCGCCATGCCGTAAAGATGTAAAGGGGAGTAGAGGCATAGCTCCACCATTCTTGACCTCGACACTAGATGAAGGTGAGTGGTCAGCTTCACGAAACGTCCACTTTAACTCTGTGGAAAGAGCCATCGGTACCCATTGGATAGAAGGGTGGGTGGGCCCAGGTGTGACCATTGTGAAAAAGAGTAATTTTTTTTTGCCCCTGCCGGAAGTCTAACCCCGACCGTTTGGCCCGTAGCCGGGCAACATATTGTCTCTACTCCTGAGCGCGAGAGGTCGAATTATTACACAGAGTAGTTTTCAGACTTCCTAAAATTGTATGTTTGTATTTCGTGAGGATTTCCCTATCTCTGCCAGTTCAGATCAATGTCATCTTTAAAAACGAGCATATTTCGTGAATGCTCTACTAACACTTGCGAATATCCGTGACACACTGCACTATAAAGACCTTCTGTAAAATTTACATTGTGTATAAATACAAATTATATCTGAACCAAATTACGGTTACCTAATAGAGCTTCTGTGTTCTCATAGAGGGAAAGGAGATTATACACGGTGCGGAAATCAAAGCGTTCTATTCCAATCTACATATCATTTCTAATATTATATTTCAACATCCTGCAGCACTGGTTAACGGTTTAATTTGCAGGGACAGTCTTGAAAGTGCAACTTCTTGTTGCGTTCGGCGCCTCTTGGAGTGCGGAGTTGTCACGTCTTTTTACAAATGTAATTTTACTACAAATTTCGACCTTATAAGGTTATCATCAGGTGGGTACTTCTAAGCAATTGCTATATTGTATTATTTTTTCTAGTCCATTGTTGTAAAACTTCGTTAAAACTAGTTCAAATTATTGTTGAATGTTTTAATACAATTACAAAAAATCAACAACGATTGGAAATACTTATAATTATATTGTTTTTTCTAGAGTATTGTTCTGAAACATGGTTAATACTAGTTACAGTTATTGTTGAACTATGCAAGAAAATTTAACAAAACAAATTCAACAATGACTGGAACTAGTTTAAGCAAAGTTCTAGAACAATGTACTAAAAAGGAAAACAAATCATCAATTATGTAGAAAAGTACCTACTTGATGATAACCTTATAAGGTCGAAATATTTCATACAAGTAACATTTAAAAAAACTGACAATATAGCACACAAAGAGCATTAAAGCATTACAAGAAGTTGACCTACAAGACTGTCCCCTGAAATTAAATTCTAATAACATACCTGTCCAAAATAATACCTGATCAGAATGACCGATTTAAAGTTCACTGGCCCCAAAAGTGACCAGCTGGAGAGTGCACAATTTTGACGTGAGGGGAACCTGGACTCAGGGATGGAACTTGGGGTCTTCGCTAGTTACACAGACTTCCTGTCACTTGAACCAGAAAAACTCCGTGGCCTGTAGTCCGCAAGCGAACTATACCGAGCGAGCGACCGCCGCTTGTCGGCGAAGTTAGTGCCAAATTTAGCGGATAGAGGGTGTCGCGTGGTCAGCGCAACGGATCCCCACGGCAGTTAATCTCCGTTTTATAGACCGGAGCCGCCATTTCCTTCGAACAGTTCCTCAATTATCCTCATGAGGTTGAGTGGACCCCGTTCCAGACCAATTACTTTTTCAGAAAATCTGACATGTGACATTACGCCTGAAGGCCGAAACCGTGGAGCCAGAGGAGAGGTACAGGCTCGGTAAACACGTTTCCGCTACAATGCCTAACAATGTAAGTATGGTTGGAAACGGTGTTTTCTATTGGGTCCGCCCCAGGGCTATACAACGATGATCCAGGTCGTCCTCTCGTCCTCGTCAGGCGGGTCGAATGCCTCCATCGTGACCCTGCGAGTAGTGGGAGGCGAAGAAAAGGGAACTCTCAAATCTAGGTCAGTCGCAATGTGACTTTGATTCTGACCGAGTTGATGACTGTAATCGAGAGAGATAGTAGAGGGGTGCAAGGAAGAGTAGCAAGAGGGCGGCTGTGAGAGGACCTTATGTGAGTTGTAGTTACAGTGAAACTGTTATATATCCGTTACCAGGATACGACTAGTGAAGAGTGAGAAGACTTATCATATTCTCGTGAACTCTATGGTGTAGATCAGCGATAGCGCCGTAATTATTTGTAATTCTGAGTGGTGTGTATAGATGGTCAATAAATCAATTCATAAATAGATACCCCGTCTATAGTCACGTTCCCAAAATACGTGACAATATTTTAACTGCTGACAGCACTGTAAAATATACCACAAAGAAATATGCTGAATGAAGGATTACTGTACTTTGGACAACCATGTAGTGCAGCAGTATCTGGCAGCAGCCTTCTGTATTCCTCTTCTGTTTACCTTCAAGACAAACACTCGAGCGCTCCTACACCCGGGGTGACACGGGACAACTCCAGAAGAAAATAATAAAAAGAGATTTCTTGAAGTGAGACAAATAGGACGTTAGTATGATGGAAAATGCACTGTCCTTTGAACGCAGTACATCACAGGGATTGGAGGGTGGGGGGGACGGTATGAGCGTCGTGGTCTCTTCTTATTAACTAACTAACTAACTAAGAACAGTATTGGTTGAAAGGCTAATAATCGTTCAGTTATCTATGGCTCTACATCCATTTTGTTGGACCTTGACCACTTTTTTTCAGTTTTCTGATCCTTTACACAGTCGGTATGACTCCTTGGACGGGGGATCAGCCCATCGCAAGGCCGCTTCCTACACACAGAAAACATAAACGCAGAATAAACACACAGACATTTATGCCTTGAGTGGGATTTGAACCCACGATCCCAGCGTTCCAGCGTGCGAAGACAGTTAGCCCGCTTGGCAACCGTGACATCCAATCGATCAGTTACCTTCTAAATTATCCTTGAGGGTACATCACACTTTCGGTAGGCAAGCTTGTGGCGAGAGGGAAGTTCGGAGTTTTCCACGAGAATTCTGGTACAGAGGTCAGTGCGCATCTATACATGTATATAACTTTATAAAGATGTTATATTGCAGCATCCTGCTGCGCTGTATAGATTTGACTTTGGAGCTTTTGTGCTGTCAATGTGCAACGTCTTTCACTATTCTTTCTTCGTATTCTTGTATTGAACACTACGAGCTTCGGCCTAACTGACCATCTTCAGATGTACAGATTGTTATGGTTAATGATTCTGCTGCTCAATATATATATTTCCTACCGTCAACGCAACAAATTGTTTATTAATATATATACCACTACATGTTTCGACCCAAACGGGCCATCCTCAGGTGCTGCAAGCCTCACACACTCAACCACTGAACTGCAAAACTCAAATTCCCATTTAAACATACATGGTTCATAAAAGGTTACTTTCTACATTATATATATTCAATTCATCAACAAGACTAAACTAGACTAGATATTGATTTAAAAAAACTCCGTGGCTTTAGTCCGCAAGCGATAGAGGGTGTCGCGTGGTCAGGCAAAGAATACCCACGGCCGTTAATTTCGGTTTTCTAGACGGAAGCCATCCTCACGAGGCTGAGTGGACCCCGTTCCAGACCCACTATTTCTCAGAAAATCTGGTAGCGCCGGGAATCGAAACAGGACCTCTGGATCTGTAGCCAGGAACTCTGGCCACTAGACAACAGAGGAGGTCAACGGAAAATAAGAGAGAACCCCTTCCTATGCCGGGAGTGAAACATTGGCCTTTCACCCCAAGGGTAAGTCTAGCCGACATATCTCAGTCTGAAGAGGATTCTAATTGAATAACGAGGGAAGGGATCATAAAGGAGGTGATGACGACTCGTGCTGGATATTGTCAGGGTTGGTTACGTTCAAACGAAGATTATAATATGAATTTAGTGCTAAACGTTTTACAACTAAGCAAACACTGTTCGCTTGTGCGTGTTTACTATGCATAGTCCTTCTAAGAATTCGTTAGTCGAGCAAGTGACGAAATTATAATACGAAAAGTCAACGAAAACACACGTGACGCTATGGTCTGGACCAGAGGGAGCCACGAGCTCATAAAGGGCATCTCACAATCTCCCTAAGGTAAAGCTGACCCTGTGCGTAACTAATTAAGCACTATAACAAGACCACATATGGCGGAATGGAGGTATAGATCCATATTTTTTTTACCTCGGCACTAGTTGGAGGTGAGTGATAAGCTTCGCGCCCCGGCCGCGTTACCCCCGGAAAAAGAGCCACCGGTACCCATTGGATAGGAAGCTGGGTGAGCCCCAGAGCAGGTCTGGACACTGTGGAGAAGAGAAAATTGTTGACCCTATAGGGACTTGAACTCCGACCTCTCGGTCGTCCAGACGGTAGATAGTCGCTATACCGACTGAGCTATCCCGGGTCCCTAGAATCTACAGGAATAGACCCGTTATTATGCTTTCTTTAGGAGCACGAATATTTTTGGCACGCCAACTGCAGAACATACCGACACCAACAAAAGATCTTCGAAAAGAGGTAAGGAGTAATAACCATTTTTTTCATGGGGGGGGGGGCAAAGAGGCTACGTAAAATCTTGGGTTTAAGCACTCAGACTAATTTTAGCGATTGTACTCCGGTATTTAAATAAAGTTGTCCCTGTGCTCAACTAATTAAGCACTGTGACATGAAGATATATATGTGGGAGTGGAGGTATAGCTCCTTTCTTGACCTCGGCACTAGGTGGAGGTGAACGGTCAGCTTTACGCCTCGGCCGCTTTACCTCTGCGGAAACAGCTCCCTCTACCCATTGGATAGGAGGGTGGGTGAGCCCCAGAGCCGGTGTAGACGATGTACAGAACAGAAAATTCTTGACCCTACCGGGACTCGATCTCCGACCACTCTGTCTTGGAGCCCGTAGCCAGTCGCTATGCCTACCTGGACGGTGGACGAGAGGCACTGCTGTGGGAGTTTAGCCTGGTCAGTAGCCACCACGACGAGGTTGTACAGAGACTTGGTTTCCCTGTCCAGCAGCCTTGTAGTGTAAATGGTTCCGTTCTGCGCAATGGTGAAGTCGTTGTCTTCGTCGCCGGCACCAATGCTGTAAACTATTCTTCCGTTTTCGCCTGCAACAGAACCAGATATATTGCCAGGTTTTCACATATCCTTCGTCTCTGTGGTCTAGTGGTCACAGTTCCTGGCTACAGATCTTGAGGTCCCGCTACCAGACTTTCTGAGAAGTAGTGGTCAGTGCAACGGATCCCTACGGTCGTTAATCTCGATTTTCGAGACCGGAGCCGCTATTTGGTTTATTTCCTTGAAATAGCTCCTCAATTATCCTCACGAGGCTGACTGGACCCCGTTTCAGACCCACTATCTCTCAGAAAAATCTGGTAACGCCGGGAATCGAATCTGGACCACTGGATCCATAGCCAGGAACTCTGACTACTAGACCACAGAGGAGGTCCCAACCAAACCCACAAGCATTATGATTTCCAATAAGGGTCATTTGACTGATTTTGGACCAAGGAATAATTTTGTTTCAAGGCAGATCAGCCATGGGGTGCATTAAATGTTAATTTATTTCCTCTACCCATATCGAACTGGGACACGCCGTAAAGCAGTTGGTTGAGACACTATGCTATAAGGCGGAAGGTCATGGGTTAGTTTCCGGTTGAGATAACTGGATTTTTCAACTGATCTAATCCTTCCAGCCGCACTGTGGCCCTGGGGGTCGACTCAGCCTCTAGCAGAAATAAGTCCCAGGAATCTTCCTGTTGATTAAAGAGTGGCCGGCGTGTAAGGCTGACCTCATTGCCATCTGTGAGCCAAAAACAAAGAAACTCCGTGGCCTGTAGTCCGCAAGCGAACTATACCGACCGAGTGACCGCCACTTGTCGGCGAAGTTAGTGCCAAATTTTTCGGACAGAGGGTGTCACGTGGTCAGCGCAACGGATCCCCACTTTCGTTAACCTCGGTTTTCTAGACAGGAACCGCTGTTTCCTTCAAATAGCTCCTCAATTATCCTCACGAGGCTGAGTGGGCCCCGTTCCAGACCCACTACTTCTCAGAAAATTTGGTAGCGCCGGGAATCGAACCCGGACCTCTGGATCTGTAGCCAGGAACTCTGTCCACTAGACCACACAGTCCAACTGTATAGAAAATGTGGGAGCCTAGACGTTTCACAACCCTATGTGTCTCCACGGCCTGTTACGTGGATAGCTTTACCTTTTTTTTTCATCCTTTATATAGGTATCGAAATATTTTTGTTACCCTAATAAGAACGAGAGTCGGACGAAAGAAAGTGCACTGGGAGAAGAGAAACTGCGTAAGAAATCTTACCTAAATCAGATATATTGTCCTTCTTCCTCTTTCCCATTTTTGAAATATCTGTCCTTTCCTTCTTTATCCTTCGTTAGAAATTCCTGTCCACTGACGACAGACGGTGGGGTCGGGCCAGATCATTAAATGAGCAGCCACAAAATAACAGGAAAAAATGTTTTGAGAGGAAAAGAGAGGAATTCTCCCCTCGCCTTTAGATGGATTGCCAAGATAGTGAGGTCAGAGTTTGGAAACCGCAGTGCCAACATTCGGACGCTGGGGAATTCCTCAACAGTTGGTACCCGTCCTGTCTCTGTGGCATAGAGTTGCCATTCGAAAATGGAACTGAAAAGGAAATCTTCCTTTACGCTGGGAATGAAAATGAAGGATAATCGGATTAGTTCCCTTCTTTCATAGCCATTCACACTGAAGCAGCAGATTACCAATGGCCGCCATTACACAGAGCAACGAGCTAGAGCCTCCTCCATGTTATCACCAAGCTCTTGTTACTGTGCTTAAGACACTTTCATTGCAGCGAGAGAAAATTATTACTTGTAGGGCGAGATTCGAGATACACTCGGTGTATTGGCCGAGGAATTGGGAGGGGCATAGCGGCCGGGCAGTGAAGCTGACCACTTACCCTCATACATCTTTACGATGCGGTGTTTAATTAATTCAGCACAAAGAAAACTTTAAATTTTTTGTAAGATTTGGGGTTTTCACGAGGGTGACTATGAAGAATACCGTCTTCTGGGATGTGGCGCCGTGTAGATATTTTATTAACCGACGTTTCGGAGGAACGTCGGTTAATAAAATATCTACACGGCGCCACATCCCAGAAGACGGTATTCTTCACCATTTCTATTACTAACAAAGTTTCACCTGTACATTTTATTCAGAATTACTGGAGTTTTTGGACTTTGTCCATCGTCCGGTATTCTAGAAGCTAGAAAACACAACGTTTAGGAAACTGTTTCCGTCCCCAAGTGAGGGGGGTGAAGACACAGACTTTTTGGGTCCTTCAAAAACAGCTAACCTCAAATATTCTTTGTAAGATTTCCTCGGGTTGCGGATGGAGGAGACGCCCTCCAGATATGGAGGGTAGCTGCGAGTAATATATTGAATAAGTAGCGGAGGACAGTCGATAAGTGGTGGTCCTCCAGTTTGGGGCCTAGGCGTTGAGCTAACAACTCCTCACCGTAAAAAATAGGCGTCTTACGAAATATCACAAAAGCCCTCGGACTTCAACTGATTCTCTGGATAAACGAGCTGGACTGGATTGAAGGGGCTCAGGATAGAGACCAGTGGAGGGCTCCTGTGAACACGGTAATGAACCGTTAAATGTTGGGAAATTCCTGAGTGGCTGATCGACTGGCTGCTTCTCAAGAAAGGCTCAGCTCCATGGAGTTAGTTAGTTGTTAACCTCCCATTCAAAGGTATACCTGTATGTACAGTCTGGATACTGACGAAGTCGCAAAATAACCCATGCAAGTAATAAATTCAACAACTCTCAGCTTAAAAAAAATGCGGTCTTCTATGCTGTAAAGAAACGCATTTCGGAGAAAGCCCAGTGTTTCGGAAGAACATAAGGCTTACATCATCAGGATCAGTACGGAGAAAGCCTAGTGTTTCGGAAGAACATAAGGCTTACATCATCAGGATCAGTACAGAGAAAGCCTAGTGTTTCGGAAGAACATAACGCTTACATCATCAGGATCAGTACGGAGAAAGCCCACTGTTTCGGAAGAACATAAAGCTTACATCATCAGGATCGAATAATAAAACACGCAGGACAACAGAAGAGAAAGAGGGAAACATTGTTGCCAGCTTCCGGCACCGCAACGAGATCTTCGAATACAACAACTATCAGCTTTATTCTCATAAACCGCGAAACGTATTATCATTATTATTCCGAGGTGAAGAACCAGAACATACCGGACCCACAGGCTTTCCCTCCGTAATTGTTTGGTGACACCAAAACTACAGTTAAGACATTGCTTGGGGGCTTTAGGGGGTTAAAATAGGTGGGTGGGGTTTGGGGAAACAAAATGACACAATAATGGACGTTGAGATATTTTAATTCAATAGACAGTTTTAACTGCAGTGTATGGTAGGCCGGAGTGAGAAACTAGTTTTCGGGTTTCCTTGTTGATGGGCGGCGCAGATGCTATGTAAAAACATTTGACTGAGACTAAGATGGAGAGAGTGCTTCTGAACTGCCTAATCAAATACACCTGTTAACAATGACTGCAGAGCATGAGCGTAGTCGGTATAGCGACTGGCTAAGAGCTGGACGACAGAGAGGATGCAGTTCGAGTCCCGCTAGGGTTAAGAATTCTCTTCTCCACGTCATCCAGACCGGCTCTGGGGCCCACACAGCTTCCTATCCAATGGGTACCGGGGGCACTTTCTCCGGGCGTAAAGCTGACCACTCAAAGTAGTGCCGAGGTCAAGAAAATATGGATCCATACATCCACTCATCTACGTGTCTTCATGGCGTAGTGCTTACTTTACATTAAATTTACCCATATAAACTGTACTTAAATCGCCCTTTCGGAATCACTTCCCGTTACAGGTAGGTAACATTCTGAAGCCTACCTTCATAATGTTATGAGGGAAGTACAGGTTTATAACATTTTTTCCGTCATGGCTTGGGGCACAAAATAAATCTACACTCAAAGCCAGCAGTGATCTGAAGTCCCCCCCCCAAAAAAAAACTCCATGGCCTGTAGTCCGCAATCGAACTATACCGACCGAGCGACCGCTACTTGTCGGCGAAGTTAGTGCCAACTTTAGCGGATAGAGGGTGTAAAGTGGTCAGGGCAACGAATGTATATATATCTGAGATTAGACAGTAAAGTAGTTGCAGAAAATAGAAGGAGATAGATGTAGACAGCTCGCCTGGAAAATGCGAGGTTCAAGCAAGAAATATACAAAAGGAAGAAGGGAAGGGGTAAATCGTACAGGAGAGTTTAGCCAAAGCAATGATTGATTGCTCGTTTAGTCACTGAGAACTATCGCAGCATAAGTTCGGTGCTGTTACTCTCATGACGTAACTTCACATGCTGCCACAATCACTCGGCAAAATACAAGGTAGATAAACATTTCTGAACGTGCGTCATCATCAGACAGTCAAGTGAATCGATACGTCATCATTAGAGACTTGCTAAATTCTGCTTTGAATGTATGATAGGCACCAAAACCGCAATACGGGGGCATCTCGCACGACTCTAGGCATTCTCCTTCCGTAAGGTTGCTTAGCCGGTCACGGTCTAAAGCATGCACTGTCTTCTCTCGCTTGGAAACCGGATCGTGGGTTCGAATCCCACTCAGGGCATGAATGTTTAGTTTGTGTGTGTGCGTCTTTCTGTGATGTGTACAGGTAGAGGCCTTGCGGCGAGCTGATCACCCGCCCAAGGATTCCTACCGAATGTGTAAGATCTAGAAAAAAAAACGAAGTGAACGGAGAAGTTCATGGAGGTAGGCCTAGGCCCACTGGAGCTGTAGTGCCAAGGAAAAAAGAAAAGAAAAGGTTGCTTGATCAAAGTAAGAGGTAATACAAAGTTGGGACCCTTAGAAAGAGCTAATCAAGTGATTTAGATTAGCTCTTTCTAAGGGATCGAATTGAATAGGTGTCTTCCTTTCTCACCTGAAGACGGAAACACATTGAGTTTCCGAAACGTCGTATCCTCTATTACCTAGAATTCCGGACGATGGAAAAAGTGCAACACCCAATAATTCTGTGTGTACGTATATTTAGTTCTCTGGGTTTACTTCTAGGCCAACCTCTTTACTAGCGTCAATTCAGCTTCTGTTTTTCTTTACGACCATTTTGAATCTACTTACAACAAATTTTTGTAATTTATAAGTGACGAAGACAACGAACCTGAGTCCAGGTCGGTGGCACTAACGGTAACAACGCTGGTCCCAACTGTCACATTCTCAAACACTTCATTGCTGTAGCTCATGGGATCGAACAGAGGAGCATTGTCGTTCAGGTCCACTACGTTGAAGTACACTGTGAGTGTGGAGGAGAGACTGGGGCGACCGGAGTCCTGAGCCTGCACCACAAATATATAATGTTGCACCTGTAACAAAACAAGACAGCACAACGTCAGCGTGAGACCAGGAAATGTCCTTCACCCTATGCATATACACTGATTAAATATGAATATACACGAAGTTAAAAATACATTTATTTACTTATTCAAATAAAAAACAAACTCCGTGGCCTGTAGCCCGCAAGTGAACTATACCGACCGAGCGACCGCCGCTTGTCTGCGAAGTTGGTGCCAACTTTTGCGAATAGGGGGTGTCGCGTGGTCAGCACAACGGATCTCCACGGCGGTTAATCTCGGTTTTCTAGACCGGCGCAGCTAATTCCTTTAAATTGCTCCTCAATTATCTTTACGAGGCTGAGTGGGCCTTTATTTACTTATGTATATGGTACAAATTAAAGTGATCCTTATGTTTAATTAATTGAGCATTCTGCTGTGAAGGCGTATTGAGGAGTGGATGTATAGATCCAAGTACTGTTGACCACGATACTAGATGGAGGTGTGAGGTCAGCCTCGTGAACCCGGTACCCACTGGATACGAAGCTGGATGAGCCATATAACCGGTGAGGACGTTGTGGAGAAGAGAAAAATTTTACTTGCCGGGAATCAAACCCGGTTCGTCCAGCCCGTAGCCACGTAGATTGAACCATTCTCAATCTTCTAATTACTTACAGACCATTTTATTAATTTATGGTTTGGAGAATTATATATTCTGCGATAGAAAGCCGTGTAGTCCTGAATGTCAATCGATATTTCGAAAGAACATGTCGCATCCATCTTCAGGGTAGAGGAATAGGGCAAGCAAAAGAAACCAGCGTGAAGCAGGTAGCAAGCACAGTTATCCTTTATTCACAAGAGCCCACCTCTCTGTTCCTGTCCAGTGACAGATAAATCAATTCAACACACTGACACTATACTCCTTTAAGGATCGTTTTAACATTATCCTACGTACAGTTCACATCGGAGTCTTCCAAAGTTCAGCAGACAAAATTATGTATGCATTTCTAATTTTACCTTTTTTTTATTGCTTGTGGGGTGGGACTAAGTCCCTTGTACTGCGGCCCAGATGATAGGTGAGGGTGATTGTGGAGCAATTGGTGGAATGAAGCTTGGCAGGGGAAACCGAAGTACTCGGAGAAAACCTGCCGCAGCGCCACTTTGTCCAACACAAATCCCACTTGACCAGACCCGGGATGGAGCCCGAGCCGCCACGATGGGAAGCCAGCGACTAACCGCTTGAGCTATGGCGCGGACTAATCTTACCTTAAAAAAATATGTGACTGTAAACACGACATGGTCGATTGGCTCCATACACGTCATCCGAAATTAATACTCCCTCTCTTCTCTCGAGGTTATACAGTGTATAGAGCTAACGAAATACCGTTAAAGACAACAAAGAAGGAGGCTTTCTCACCTCATTACCTTACACTTTCTAACCCTGCTCGTTATAACCGAGATGAACTGGCAGCTACGGGATTCGATCAAAGGGTACGAGGAGAAGAAACACCCCCCCCCCCGCTCGTGATCAGAGATGACGCACATCATGTTCAACCTGTGAGGGCATTCACTTAATTCATACGTCACTATCTGCGTCTCTTGCACGTCCACAACAATCTTTTTGTTGGCCTCATCCTATCGATTGACCAAGTCTTCACTTAGCGGGCCACATCACAAAGTCGCGCTTTTAATGTAATTTAATAAAACCGTTAATTATTGGGGGTCGTTACTTCTAACTACAGGAGATCTGGCAACACAGTCTTGAGAAGAGGTTGCTAACACAAGAAGAAGAAGAAAGTGTATTATATGTGGGCAGGTGGGAGAGAAGGAAGTACCACCACTACATTACGGTACGAGCAGAAGGTAGACTCTGACCGCCTCTGTGGTCTACAGATCCTGATGTCCGGGTTCGATTCCCGGCACTACCAGATTCTGTGAGAAATAGTGGGTCTGGAATGGGGTCCACTCAGCCTAGTGAGGATAACTGAGGAGCTATTTCAAGGAAAGAGCAGCTCCGGTCTAGAAAACCGAGATTAACGTCCGTGGGCATTCGTTGCGCTGAACACGCGGTACTCTCTATCCGCAAAAGCTGGCACTAACTTCGCCGACAATCGGCGGTCGCTCGATCGGTATAATTCTTTTATGGACTAAAACCATGGATTTGTTTTTGTTTTGAAGAAAGCACACTCTATGTTAACCACTGATAGGCCACAACTTGGTTGTATTGAAACTGCCTAGGACGAAGGGATCTTCCACCCTGAAGATGACAGCAGATTCTTCCACGCGCCGTCACTAATCAGAAGACGATCTATACATTCATTTAGTATAAATAGGAGTGCTATTTTATGACACGTCACGCCGTATTAAAAATTAAATTAAAATCTCCGATATGAGGAACATGGGGCCTCTAACTGCAGGGCCCAACATATGCTGAGCAATGAGCAAAAAGAAATCAGCTGCTTGTTTAGCTTATCTTCAGTCCTAAAGATGGACGCTTTGGTTCCACCGCAACTCCAGTACAAGTCTGCCCGGTTACACGGACAGCCACAGCTGCAAGAGCCTGAAATTCAACTAGTATTAAGACTTGGTAATCATGGTAAAATGTTTTCTAGAATGTGGAACTACTGTGGCTTACAGACTCGTTGCTAGGCAAAGACCTCTTTTTTCTATTGCTAGTGGGGTGGGACTAAGTCCCTTGTACTACGGCCACTTCTGGCCTATTGTACCAGCCCTAGATGATAGGTGAGGGTGTTTCTGGAGCAATTGGTTGAATGAAGATTGGCAGGGGAAACCGAAGTACTCGGAGAAAACCTGCCCCAGCGCCACTTTGTCCACCACAAATCTCACTTGACCAGACCCTGGATCGAACCCGGGCCGCCGCAGTGGGAAGCCAGCGACTAACCGCTTGAGCTATGGCGTTAGACAAAGACATCGAAACGAACAATGAGCACAGCCGTTGCTATGCAATAGGCGAAAAAACAAACGACCGTTTCTAAGAAATGGCTCGGTAGACACGTTACCGCGGAAACGAACATGCGCGTAGTAGAACGGCGTTTTCGTTGCGATCCGTGCAAAGTGGTTATAAAAAAAGAGAACTGGAGTTGAAGATTGGCAGTTCAATTGAGCTTTGCAAGGAAGGGTGAGAATGGAGCTATAGTTGAGTTGACACTTGCAAGAGATCTTCATGGACGACTGTGATAAGAGGACCTGAGAGCGGAAAAATGAACAATCTCCACTGTTAGAATCCGTTGCTAGGAAACGGCTGATGAAACAGCAGACTGGAAAATGGCTTAGTGGATGCTGTGGTGATTTGTAAAGAGTGGAGATTAGCCGTAGCGCTGTAGTTCCAAGTCGTGTGTATAAGTGGTCAATAAATCCATTCACCAGTCCAAACCATGCCTGTAGTCAGACTCATAAGTAACAATATAACCTCCTCCCCAGCTCACAACCCCGTGCCCCAGTCATATGTTACGACTGATCGTCGGAAATTAAAAACCACGACCTCGAATGATATAACGTTACTATTAAATGTCGTGAAAATTATTTCACAGGTTGAAAGGGGTAACAGAGGCGCACATAAATGCAGATAGATTGATGGCATAAACCCACTTTCTTTTCTTAATACAGGGAAATGGGATAAAAAAAATATTTGTAGAAAAATGTTCATGGATCCAGCGGGGAACACCCGTTTCCAAAGCGCCAAGTCACTGGTAACGGCAGCTCTCCCTAGCGGTCCATCAGCTTTAACGGACTGTTCCGGCCCCATTAAAATCTCGTTTGGTCAATCCATCATTTTATTGGCCCTCCAACGTTCATCATTCATCAATTATCCGCTACTCACTTGTATTCGGGAGATGACAGGTTCGAACATAGGTTAGGATACCGACCATACTGAGATTATTCATGATTTTCCTCATTCCCTCCATGCAAATGCCGGGAAAATATCTCAAATTAGACCATGAACGTTTCCTTCCAAATCCCTCTGCAGTTCATTTTCCCTGACTTCGTAGCATCCGAAGCTATGGGTCTTATATTTATTGTTTGCCTCCTGTTGCGTATCATGATTTTCGTACTCTAGCTGCCAGCACAACAATAAAAAATAAACCATTCGAATTGTTTATATTGGTTTTATTTAATAAATGTTACATGTTTCGGTCCACACTTGGGACCATCTTCAAGCAGTTTCATTAAATCCTTCTCATGTTATTGAAATATTCTAATATGGATCCATACTAATGCTAATCATTATAATCATACATCTAAGTATAACGAAGTTGCAAATACATTTCTAATTTTACAATTCTCTCGTCGTTATGATGTAAAATTCTATGTAAATTTGTCGCGCATTGTAGGCAGTGTCTTATCGTCCGGCCGAGCGACCGAGCGACCGCCGCTTGTCGGCGAAGTTAGTGCCAAATTTAGCGGACAGAGGGTGTCGCGCGGTAGTTCGCTTGCGGACTAAAACCAGTGCAACGTGTCGTATTATATACTAATATAAAACTTTTGCCTCGAGTTGGTTGCACGTTGCACTGATAAGGATCCATATCGGTAGTTCAATAACTAAACGTATTCCTATATTCGGTCTTGTACGACCGAAACATGTAGCAGGAATAAAGATAGAATATTAAAACTGAGTATATTTGTTGTGTTAGCGGTTGACACAATTTCTACATATGCCTGGAGCACACAACAGGATGCAGTCAAGATATACATGCGCACAGAAGGGACCGCATAATAACGACCAACAACCACAATATGGAAGCACAGCAGTTTCTTCATTTATAATTTTAAAACACCTGATGATGATGACCTTATGGGTCGAAATATGTAGTGAATAACTTTTAATAAATGAAGAAAGTCGTCTTCTGGGTTTAGGCGCCGTGTATTCTTCGTTTTGGCCGACNAAACCTCAAAACTTACAACTTTTAATAAGTTAAAATCTATATGGCGTGTAAAACTTTCAGTAAGTTTTATAGATGGACGTGTTGCATGTGGGACTGTGAAAACATACGATACTTCTGCTATGCTGTGAG